TGTGTCCCAGTGACCCCAAATTCCCTGGCCTCTTCAGCCAGGTGGTGGTAATAAAGTATCTGTGGACCCTCTTTGTCAAAGCTATAAACCTAATGAGATTCAGTGTTTTAGTGAATCAGTCTCCCTTGATGTTAAACAGTGCTCCAGTTGGCTAACACAGTATACTGACCAGTGATTCAGTGCACACATAGGGTGATATGTAACTACATAACATAAACACAACTGTGAGATTAAAATATATAAACTTATGTATGCTATATAATAAAAACCCTAACTAATTATTCATTTCTATCTAAAAATGAAAATCACCCTAACAGATGTTTTAGCGAAGTGTAAACATACTGTAATTTGTAATACTGTAATGTCATCTGTCGTATTTTCTGGGTTTATTACTTAATTTCTATTTATTATAGTCAGATAGTTCTTTATCTCTTTTATGTCTTAGCTTATGTGTGTGGTTCTGTATCACTGGAATATTGCCCTGGGGACCAATGAAGTCTTACCTTATGAACCACTGTGAGAATATGGGGAATAAAACTGAAATTCATATTGTCATAAACATTATTTATTCTGTCTTACCTAAAAAAAAAAAAAGCCTAAGCCTTTTGTCTTTCTGTGTAGATGAAGAGTTGTACGCTGGGATCACCTCAGACTTTATGAGCCGGGACGCCGCCTTCTTCCGCAGTCTCGGCAGTCGTCACGTCATCCGCACCGAGCAATATGACTCTACCTGGCTCCAGGGTAAGTGCAAAAAAAGCCACCAAAAGAGAATACCAAAAACATGTACTGTTCTAAACTAATCTCTAACCTATAATGGTCAGAAATCTCTGTTTTTGTACACAATTTTAGTATTGCAGGATTTCTGGCTGGGTTCTTTCAGAGGTCAGCACAAACAATAATGTGTTCATGGTCTCCCATTTAGACTGAACTGTGAGTCCTGGTGTGTTAGAACTTGGAACAATACAGCAACACCGCTAACATGCTAACCATTCAGTTTCCACTAGCTCTTTGGAAACTACAAGTCATTCAAATGATTCAATAATAACATGTCTTTAGCACTTTATACTTTTTACATGCATATCAGCAGAGTTGGATTGCATCACAGTGATTTATAATTTACCCTTCCTTTTGCACATCTATGTCCCTCTCTCTTCAGATGCCCAGTTTGTACGGGTAGCGCCGCTGTCTGAAACTGATAACTCAGAAGATGATAAAGTCTATGTGTTCTTCACTGAGCGTGCTCAGGAGGCAGAAGGGGCTGCTGGGAAAGTGCTTTACACTAGGGTGGCACGTGTGTGCAAGGTATGGAGTGTATTTGTTACAGACAGAGGGAGACCTGGTTTGTGCATTTGTGTACTCATATCAGAAACTATGTGCATGCAGTTTATGTAAATGTGTATGTCTGAACAGGTAGAGTACTGTATGTACAGTGGGTACGGAAAGTATTCAGACCCCCTTAAATTTTTCACTCTTTGTTATATTGCAGCCATATGCTAAAATCATTTAAGTTCATTTTTTTCCTCATTAATGTACACACAGCACCCCATATTGACAGAAAAACACAGAATTTTTGACATTTTTGCAGATTTATTAAAAAAGAAAAACTGAAATATCACATGGTCATAAGTATTCAGACCCTTTGCTCAGTATTTAGTAGAAGCACCCCTTTGAGCTAATACAGCCATGAGTCTTTTTAGGAATGATGCAACAAGTTTTTCACACCTGCATTTGGGGATACTCTGCCATTCCTCCTTGCAGATCCTCTCCAGTTCTGTCAGGTTGGATGGTAAACATTGGTTGACATTTTCAGGTCTCTCCAGAGATGCTAAATTGGGTTTAAGCCAGGGCTCTGGCTGGGCCATTGAACCCAAAGATGACTGTGGCTGAGCTCCAGAGATGCAGTCGGGAGATGGGAGAAAGTTGTAGAAAGTCAACCATCACTGCAGCCCTCCACCAGTTGGGGCTTTATGGCAGAGTGGCCCGACGGGAGCCTCTCCTCAGTGCAAGACACATGAAAGCCCGCATGGAGTTTGCTAAAAAACACCTGAAGGACTCCAAGATGGTGAGAAATAAGATTCTCTGGTCTGATGAGACCAAGATAGAACTTTTTGGCCTTAATTCTAAGTGGTATGTGTGGAGAAAACCAGGCACTGCTCATCACCTGTCCAATACAGTCCCAACAGTGCAGCATGGTGGTGGCAGCATCATGCTATTGGGGTGTTTTTCAGCTGCAGGGACAGGACGACTGGTTGCAATCGAGGGAAGGGTGAATGCGGCCAAGTACAGGGATATCTTGGACGAAAACCTTCTCCAGAGTGCTCAGGACCTCAGACTGGGCTGAAGGTTCACCTTCCAACAAGACAATGACTCTAAGCACACAGCTAAAATAACGAAGGAGTGGCTTTACAACAACTCCGTGTCTGTTCTTGAATGGGCCAGCCAGAGCCCTGACTTAAACCCCATTGAGCATCTCTGGAGAGACCTGAAAATGGCTGTCCACCCACGTTTACCATCCAACCTGACAGAACTGGAGAGGATCTGCAAGGAGGAATGGCAGAGGATCCCCAAATGCAGGTGTGAAAAACTTGTTGCATCATTCCCAAAAAGACTCATGGCTGTATTAGCTCAAAAGGGTGCTTCTACTAAATACTGAGCAAAGGGTCTGAATACTTATGACCATGTGATATTTCAGTTTTTCTTTTTTAATAAATCTGCAAAAATGTCAAAAATTCTGTGTTTTTCTGTCAATATGGGGTGCTGTGTGTACATTAATGAGGAAAAAAAATGAACTTAAATGATTTTAGCATATGGCTGCAATATAACAAAGAGTGAAAAATTTAAGGGGGTCTGAATACTTTCCGTACCCACTGTACATGCTGGCTAGAGTGTGTGTCTGCGCCTGTTGAGGTGTGCTTGTTTAACTAAAAAGCAGCCTGGTTGTATAGATATGGATTTTGAAATCTGTGTATAAGGGACTATTTATGTTTGTCATTAACAGTGTGTCTTCATTCTATCTTCTGCTCTGCTATGATACACTTTGATTATTTGTATTGTCTGTATTTTCTTATTCTTTGTGTGTGTGTGTGTGTGTGTGTGTGTATACAATATATAGACTGTTTGTACAGCATGTTTGAATGAATATTTGTTGCCCAGTACATAGAAAAACTTCCAATAGATTTCCAGTTGTGAGATAAAATGTCATCAATTTTAAGTATCATACTTACCAAAAATTTTTTGCAAGGCAAGGCAACTTTATTTATATATCATATTTCATACACAGAAGCATTTCAAAATGAAAAACATTAACAAGATTAAAAACAATTAGCATTATAAACAAGAAAAAAAAGTTAATTATAGTGCAGTTACAGGGTGTTACAGTTTCAGTGTAGTATCTAAATAGTAGGCTTTATATACTTTACCACTGTTTATTTATTTTGGTGCTGTCTAGTTTTCCTGGGTTTCACATAAAATATTTTTAGAAATAAAAATTTGTGGCAGTGACATGTATGCTGTTGCATAGTATAAGATAATTCAGTGATAAGTAGACTGATGTTTTGAAATGTTTTATATATTTGGGGTAGAATGACATCGGAGGCCAGAGGAGTTTAGTCAATAAGTGGAGTACCTTCCAGAAGGCTCGCATGGTATGTTCAGTCCCAGGACCAGATGGCCTACAGACACTATTTGACCAGCTGCGTGAGTACACATACACACACACATGAATCAAATGAAAAACACATCACATGCACAGTAAAACTAATCACATCTGACAGGCTTCAACCACTGGTCACAACAGTAGTTCAAGCTCTGCCGCTTAATACTTCTTAAAGGTGAAATTAAAGTGCACATGGCATGCTTTTCTGTGTTTTCTGACTTATCAACAACATTACAATGAATAAATTACTATTTTAAACCCGGCTGAGAGCTCAAAAAATGAGGTGTACCTATGTTGTTGTACTTCTATGCAGAAGCAACTCAGTTTATACAAGTCTCGTGAACTCTCACTGCTGAGAATTTTTTCCAACTATGAAAGCCTTACGCAAAAGTTCATAGACTTTCATGAATGGTCATAATCTCCAGGCAGTTGCACGTACATGCGCGCTTGCCTGACATCCACCGGCGCCATTTTAAAAGTGGAATTTTTCGACTGCACACAGTCTTGTGAATGTATTCTCCCTCCTCCTGCTGCACTGTAAGTTATGATCGGCTAATCTAGAGGTACCCAAGACTAAACATTAAATAGCTGGAAGTGAGTATGCCATGGGCACTTTAAGATCAGATACTCAGCCAGTATGTGTGCCTTTGTGTTCATGAGCATGATGCACGAGGAGCTGGGTACTCTTACTAAGATATTTGGAGGTGTTGAAGGAGAGTTTGAATATGAATATGATAAGCATAAGTTTTATTGCCAAGTACAAAAACAGAGAATGTATAAACTTAGAGATGTTCAACCACAGCCTCAATGTGTGAGTTGCCTGTATGGGCCCACTGTTACCACAGTGATTAACAGCCCTGTTGGTCACCTTGGGTCCATCTTCATGCTCAGCCTTGGTAACCATGGCAACTGGCCTCAACATTCAGTTTCTGTGTGTTTATTCATTATCAAGGATTTGGGCTTGTGTCCTCCATTTGGCTCTGAGTGTGTGTGCTCAGGAGCAATTCTGTGTAGGCATGAGTCTGATGTGTATTTTGAGGGAATCAGGACAGTAGCCTCTGTTTGCTCTCTGTTTGTCAGACTGAACCCATTTATGAAGATACACAGCTCTCTTTTTTCTGCATTCACCTGTGAACTATTAGTGCTGAACTCTTGTCAGTTAGAATCATCATACCTGTAGGTAGTGCTCAGTACATTTCTATTAATATATGAATGGCAATCACCCACCTTCAGTGTTGTGTCACATTTGAAAGATGCTGCACACCCACACAGATGTTCAGTTACAAGGTGCTTTCAGTACTAAAGAAATAACTCTACAGACCAAGGGTTGTTTTGTTGCGCAGTGGCCACAGATATGATGTCAAGTGCAAATCCCATACTCTATTAAATTCAGTACTTTCAATTAAGCAGCAACTTTGATTTGCATCTACATTTGTACAGTTTGCAACAGAAATTGTTCTACTACATAGTGCTACAGAATTAATGAAAATTAATCAGTTGACAACCTGCACATATCCACAATGTTCAGGAAACTACACTGAACTGGCCTGTTCAGTTGATATAGAGTGATTTCCACTAGAAGATTGAAGGTACACGCATTAGCGTTGAATAAAAACCACTGAACTTTAAGCTATGTCTCAAGAACTTACACATCTGCAGGGCTTCTACTCAGTCAACCACCCCACATGGGACTCAAACCCACAATCGCTGGCTTAGGAGTCCAGTGCATTTTCCATTAGGGTCACAGGATACCTGTGGTGGCCTGTTAGGTTGACATAGAATGATTTCCACAAGATAGTGAGAAGACTGAAGGTACACACATTAGGACTGAACAACAAGCACAAAGCATTAAGCTAGGTCTCAAGAACTTAAGCATCTGCATGGCTTCTACTCATTCAGCCACCCCAGATGGGACTAACCCCCCAATCCCTGGCTTAGAAAGCTAGGGCCTATTCCTTTAGGCCACTAAGGTTATAGGTAACATGCGGTGGCTTGTTCAGGTGACATAGAGTGATTTCCACTAGATAGGGAGAAGATTAAAGGTATGCACATTAGCGTTGAACAGTAAGCACTGAACTTTAAGCTATGTCTCAAGAACTTACACATCTGCAGGGCTTCTACTCATTCAGCCACCCCAGATGTGACTAACCCCCCAATCCCTGGCTTAGAAAGCTAGGGCCTATTCCTTTAGGCCACTAAGGTTATAGGTAACATGCGGTGGCTTGTTCAGGTGACATAGAGTGATTTCCACTACATAGTGAGAAGATTGAAGGTATACACTATAGCGTTGAACAATAAGCCCTGAACTTTAAGCTAGGTCTCAAGAACTTCAACATCTGCTGGGGCACAACCCACTTAGTTACCCCAGATGGGACTCGAACCCACAATCCCTGGCTTAGGAGGCCAGTGCCTTATCCATTAGGCCACTAGGGCTATAGGATGCCTTTGCTGCTCTGTTCAGTTGACATAGAGTGATTTCCACTAGATAGGGAGAAGATTGAAGGTATACACTATAGCGTTGAACAATAAGCCCTGAACTTTAAGCTAGGTCTCAAGAACTTAAACATCTGCAGAGCTTCTACTCAATACGCCACCCCAGATGGGCCTCGAACCCACAATCCCTGACTGAAAAAATAAGTGCCTTCTCCGTCAGGTCACTAGGATTACAAGATACATATGGTGGCCTATTCAGTTGACATAGAGTGATTTTCCAAAGTGTGCGAAGATTGAAGGTATACACTATAGCGTTGAACAATAAGCCCTGAACTTTAAGCTAGGTCTCAAGAACTTAAACATCTGCAGAGCTTCTACTCAATACGCCACCCCAGATGGGCCTCGAACCCACAATCCCTGACTGAAAAAATAAGTGCCTTCTCCGTCAGGTCACTAGGATTACAAGATACATATGGTGGCCTATTCAGTTGACATAGAGTGATTTTCCAAAGTGTGCGAAGATTGAAGGTATACACTATAGCGTTGAACAATAAGCCCTGAACTTTAAGCTAGGTCTCAAGAACTTAAACATCTGCAGAGCTTCTACTCAATACGCCACCCCAGATGGGCCTCGAACCCACAATCCCTGACTGAAAAAATAAGTGCCTTCTCCGTCAGGTCACTAGGATTACAAGATACATATGGTGGCCTATTCAGTTGACATAGAGTGATTTTCCAAAGTGTGCGAAGATTGAAGGTATACACTATAGCGTTGAACAATAAGCCCTGAACTTTAAGCTAGGTCTCAAGAACTTAAACATCTGCAGAGCTTCTACTCAATACGCCACCCCAGATGGGCCTCGAACCCACAATCCCTGACTGAAAAAATAAGTGCCTTCTCCGTCAGGTCACTAGGATTACAAGATACATATGGTGGCCTATTCAGTTGACATAGAGTGATTTTCCAAAGTGTGCGAAGATTGAAGGTATACACTATAGCGTTGAACAATAAGCCCTGAACTTTAAGCTAGGTCTCAAGAACTTAAACATCTGCAGAGCTTCTACTCAATACGCCACCCCAGATGGGACTCGAACC